GCTAAGAACCATACTCTCAACACTCAATGATACAAGAAACCATAAGGAAGTGCTCGGGCCTGGTGCACTGGGAAGACCCAGAGGGATCGGGCGGAGAGGGAGGTGGGAGGGGGGATCGGGATGGGGAACACATGTAAATCCATGGCTGATTCATGTCAATGTATGACAAAACCCACTACAATATTGTAATTAGCCTCCAACTAATAAAAAAAAAAAAACAAAAAGAACCCATAAGGACTGCCAGATTACAAATGAGGAAACTGGGACAGAGAGAGGTAAAAGGCCTCGCCCCAGGTCACACAGCCAGGATTATAGCCCAGATCTTTCTAAGCCTGAAGCCTGGACTCTTAATTTCTAACTATAACATGATCGAGAAAGGGATGACTGCTCAAGGAGAGAGACAGATGGACTACAAGACGTCTTAGGGGAAAGAGAGATGAGAGCTAGAAGGAAACAGTGAGGGATTTGAGAAGGCTTCCTGGAGGAGAAGGCATTTGAGGTGGGCCATTAATGACTGAATTGGTTGTAGTTTCTTGGGCTTGATGTCTCTGTCTAGAGGAGGGAATTGGGAACTTTGGTTCTACAAACCTTAAACTACTTCATTTGGATTTATAGGAGCCAAGAAAAAAAAAGAAAACCTGTTAGAGCTTTTTAAAGGGGCTCAGGGCAAGTTGCTTTTAACTCTTTGAGGGTCAGGACTTTGTGGATCTGAAGAGAAACTCTGAAATTACATGCCCCAGAAAACTTTACACGGAGACACATACTCAACAGAAGTAGGGACCATCCATGTGCTTCTAGCCCCAGTCCAAGAAACACAAGTTAAAACCCTATAAATTCACAAATTACTACATTCACCCATGTTGGATGCCTTCAGGGAGATTCTCAGAACTTGGGCAAGCAGAGATTAATTTCTTAATATCAGAAGGTTAGGGTAGATTTATAGAAGAGCTTCCATTAACTGTCTCAACTTAGCATGCCTCAGTCTCTTCTGCTAGTTACTTTCTAATGGAAAAGCTATGTACTTCCTGGCATATTTTTCAGTTGACAGCTAACCTTGTTCATCAAAAAATTTGCATAGTTACAAAGGTTGTAATTTCCAACATGTTGTAAATTCATACCTTAAAAAAGAAATGCTTATATCATTCTTAAGTGTATGTATCCAGTTAAGTACCCTAGCAATTTAATAGCTACAACCATCTATTAAATATATATATGTATATATATAGGGACTTCCCAGCTGGTCCAGTGGCCAAGACTCCATGCTCCCAATGCAAGAGGTCTTGGTTTGATCCCTGGTCAAGGAACTAGATCCTGCATGACGCAACTAAAAATCCTGCACGCCACAACAAAGATCTAAGATCTGGAGTGCCACAACTAAGACACAGCACAGGCAAATTAAAAAAAAAAAAAAAATGAACAAGCTTCTCTAACAGTGCAATTTTACATCATTCCTTTTCTACTTGAACTCAACTTTTTATTCCATGTTCCCCCACAATATTTTACAACAGTGTATTTTTTATGTTTAAATGACATATGGATAATTTTATCATAATTCTCTGCACATATATATTTACTTATATGTAAATTGGATCATTATTTACTTTCTGTGACTTTAACACTAGGCACTAATTTTTCTATTATTACAATTATCATATAAATGCAATTGATCAAAACAATATAAAGACTTCCCTGGTAGTCTAGTGGTTACACTTGGTGCTGGTGACATGCGTTTGATCTCTGGACAGGGAACTAAGGGCTTCCCAGGTGGCTCAGTGGGTAAAGAAATCCACCTGCAGTGCAGGAGATGCAGCCAGATGCCGGTTCGATCCCTGGGTTGGGAAGATCCCCTGGAGGTGGGCATGGCAACCTGCTCCAGTTTCTTGCCTGGAGGATCCCACGGGCAGAGGAGCCTGGTGGGCTACAGTCCATAGGGTCAGACATGACTGAAGTGACACACACACAGGGAACTAAGATCCCACATGCCGCCTGGCACAGCCAAAAAAAAAAAAAAGTACACGTATTTCCATTTTTAAAAGTCAGAGGAGAAAATTTAACCCTTAATTGTGCTATAATTGACATAAAATAAATGACATATTTAAAGCACACAGTTTGACACATGTATACACTCATGAAACCACTCCTACAAACTTAGATAGGTAATTATTTAACCGAAAAAATAAAAAAGGAAGGTTCCCCCCACCCCCGCCAGTGAGTCACATATTCCTGGATGAATGTTGCTTGCGCTAGAATGAGGTAGATTTTTTGCAATAATTCTATTCCCATGTTGTTTTGTTTTGTTTTGCCGTCAAAGTGGTCTACTGAAGCCAGCTTGTACCAGTTCAGTTTGGGGGAATTTGTGAGTAGTTGTTTCACATAATGACTCCTAAAAACTAAATTATATGAACTTGCAATTAAATTATCTGTGTTAAAGACAAAGGAAATAAGCACTCAGCACACTCATCACTTACTAATTATTTCCCTACATTTTACTGTTATCTACGCTCTTGATATTATCTGCCTCTATTGTATTTGTGTGGTGGAAAGGCTGCTTATCTGTCACCAACTCAGTGATATCACCTTGGTTGCTTGAAATCAGCCCAAGGGGAGTATTTACACCATAGAAATTGGCAAATGGTGCAAGTTAGCACTTCCCACCTCCCCCAACGAATTGTTGCACGTTTACCAGCACAGGGCTGGCAGTAAGTGCTGAGAAACCTTCAACTTAATGAAGATGGTGGGAACAAAAGGAGTGTTGTTAGAGCAATGCGATGACAGGTAACTGAAATTGCATAGTGAAAAAATTATTTTTAATGATCTATCTACTGACAACTAGATTAGACCTTATCCTTCCATTCTGTGGAAATCAAGGATTGCAAAACCCATCTGACTTGCAAAAGGATTTCTTATTCTGACATAAAAGTCATTTATTTTCCTGGTCTATTTCCAAATCCTAAGGAAGAGTATTGAGAAGAGCTGAAAATAATTGCTGGCCTTTAAATCTGTAGAGAAAAACACGGTCTGTGTTGGAAGCTTACTTTACTGTCAAGACTCTCTGCTTCAAAAAGATTTTTCATCCTTTGATAATAATTAAGGGATGGAAAAAAGGAAGTTATTCCTAACTCTCCACAAAGTATATGAATTCATTATATGCCAACGGAGGCCAAATACTCTGCTTCTGAAGCCATGCTTCAGTCTTGGAAAGATAGATATATATGTATTATATGTGCATATATCATTATGATATATATATATGTGCCATAAAGATATAAATATATGCCATAGGTGTGCCTGCCAAGTTGCTTTAGTCGTGTCCTACTCTTTGCGACCCTCTGGGATTCTCCAGGCAAGAATAATGGAATGGGTTGCCATGTCCTCCTCCAGGGGATCTTCCCCACCCAGGATCCAACCCATGTATCTTATGTCTCTTACATTGGCAGGCAGGTTCTTTACCACTAGAGCCACCTGGGAAGTCCCATATGCCATATATATATGTGTATATACGTATACAAATATGTATGTATGTGTATGTCACCCTTGGCACTTTGATTGTCGTATGATCCTTCCCCCTAATAATTCCAACAGTACTTGTACTTGGGACCTCAGAGGATTTTACCAAACCCTTCCTCACACATACACACACACACAGAAAGTAAGGAGGATATGCAGGGGGTAGTGTAAACATGAAACTGTCTTATACAAAAGGTGGGATCTGAGAATTAAGATAAACTTGCCAGAGACTCTCCTGGTGGTCCAGTGGCTAAGACTCCAAGCTCCCAATGCAGGGAGGCTGGATTTGATCCCTGGTCAGGAACTAGATCCCATACGCCTCAATTAAGTCCATAGCATCCCAAAGAGCCGGACACAACTGAGCAGGTAGCACACAAGAGCTCACATGCCACAACTAAAGATTTTTCATGCCACAACTAAGACCTTGCACAGCCAAGCAAATAAATATTTTTTTAAAAAAGATGAACTTGCCAAACAGCTCTCAAAGAGATCAAACTTTTTAGGACGTTCAATATCAAGAAAACAAATCCCTTAAAACAGAGGTCAGCTACCCTAAGACCAACAAGCCCACCCCTAACTGGTTTATGCTCAGCCCCCAAAGAATGCTTTTACAGGGACCTCCCTGGTGGTCCAGCGGCTAAGACTCTGAACTCCCAATGCAGGGGGCCTGGGTTCCATCCCTGGTCAGAGAACTAGATCCCACATGGTGCAGGTAAGAGTTTGCTTGTCACAACTAAAGCCGCAACCAAGACCCAGCGTGTGGAAATAAATAAATAAAAATAAACCTTTATTTATTTTTTTTAAAAGAATACTTTTACATATTTAAATGGTTGGGAAAGAAAAAAAAATCAAAAGAAGAATCCTATCTCATGACACGTGAAAATTATATGAAATTCAAATTTCAGAGTCCAGTTTAATCAGGACGTGGGAGCCACTCTCTTTCCTTTAAGTATCTAAGGTTGCCTTTGTGCTGCAAAGCTAGAGTTTGAGTAATTGTGACAGAGACCATCACGGCCTAAAACATTTAGCTCTTTACAGAAAAGCGCCTGCTGACTCCAGTCTGCAAACAGCCGGCGATTGTTGCCCATTCTCGGAGGGGAATGTACCCATCTGGAAGGGCGCCGATCTAAATTCACGGCCCTGGGCAACTCCTTCCGGTCTGTGGGCCTCAGTTTCCCCAACTGTAAAATGGGTTTATGCACAGCGCTCTCGGGTCACCTACCTAGCAGGGAATCGGGGATCGGGGCTGCTAGAGGCCAGAGACTGGATGGACTGAGCGGCCCGCGCCCAAGGGGCGGGTCCCTCGGGTTTCCAACGGGGCGGGTAGGAGCAGCACCCCGGAGGCCCAGCTTTCGCGGGGGAATTCCGGGCGGGGTGCGGGCAGTGGGGGCGGGCCGGGGAGGGGCCGGGGGCGGGGCCGATCACCGCCTATAAGAAGGGACGCGCGCCAGCCCTGGCCACCCGCCTGCGCGCCCTCTGCGGACCGCGGTACGATGGCCCCCGCCCGCCTGCTCGCTCTGCTGCTGCTCCTCGTGGGCGTCCCCGCCGCTGCCGCCGAGTCGGTAGGTGCTTGGAGATCCCCGAGGTGGGCTGGGGGGCGGGAGGGCGGACCGGTATCTTCTTTGTTCTGGGATCCTGCGGTGGGGTCCAGGGAAGGGCAATCGGGGTAGTGCGCCGTCCCCAACTAGACCAGGGAAACTTTTTTGGAAACTTTGCCCTGGGGTCCCAGGGAGGCTCCGGGGCGAGGAGGGGTGGGTGACCCCTCTGCGCACGGTGCGCCCCCAGCCTGTTGAGCTTCTCGCCGCCCCCTGGCCTCAGCCCCGCCGCGGGCTTCAGGCTCGGACGTGACTAAGCTGGTGTCACCTCGCCTCCCCTCACCCTCTCGCCCCTTCCCCGGTGATCCCAGGGCAGGCTCGCGCCCTGACCCCCCTCCGCGCCCTCCAGAATCCGAGATGGCCTCGACATGAAGGGGGGCTGCGTGTACTCGGAAGGGGGAAGGGTGCAGGGTTCTGAGGGGCCTTGTTTCACGCACCGGGGTAGAGGACTGAGCCCTGACCTCAGGTTTGGCCGCAGCCCTGCCACTGGCCTGTGACTTTGGGCAAGGCCCTGCCCTCTTCTGAGTCCCAAAGCGTCTGGGGGACTAGGATGGGAGGTGAGCAGTGCTTCTATAGGGTCCGTACAAAGTTGGGACTCTGATCTTTCCGGGGCAGACTGGAGGGACTGTGCAGCCTCCTAACTTTGCCAGGAGTTGAGCCTCTGCTTTCCTCCAGAAGAGCGTTTATTTCCACCGATCTGACCGCTGGGGAAACCCAAAGCACTCTCCTTTGGGTGGGGTGAAGGGGGACTGGGGGAAGAGAAGGTCTCCGTGAGCCTCGAGTAACCTCCTCACTGGTCCTTTACTGCACGTACTGGTCCCTGTCATAGTGTCCAAAGCCCTGGGCCCACCAGAAGCTCCATTCATCCCAGCGGTCAGTTGGGAAGGAGGGAGGCCATCTCCTCTGGGAAACTGGCCCACAGGAATTTCTGAGAGAGGCAGTCTGACCCCCTCCCCCCCCCCCCCCCCGCCCCGCCACAAGCTTGGCCTCTTTGGTACCCTTAAACCTCTGTTTTGGGAAGAGCAAGTGGCAGATATTAACTGATCTTAATATCAGTTCTCAGTGGGGCTCCCATTTCTTTGGGATGACTTAGAATAAGTCCTTTCTGCCTGGCAAGCTTCATTTGAGACCCTGAGCTATACCCACCCTCTCCCCCCCGCCCCCCGCAGAACCCCCTTCCTCTCCACCCCCCAGATAACAGTTGCAGCCCTGAGTGATGACAGCAAGCCTTCAGTGCTTATGGAACTGTTCTAATAGCATTCTGATAGCTGTTCTAATGGCTCTATCTACTAGTTTAGTTCAGCCCTTGTGTTTACTGTTTTAAACTGGTCCTGAGGCTAGAGAGGTTAACCAACCTGCCCAAGGTCACATAGCTGATAAGGGGCTGAGTCAGATGCAAATTAGGCAGCCAGGCCTCCAATTCCCTTTCTTAAATCTTTTGCTCCGATCTTGATGTGTAGTCTGATGCTACTCTTGAGTGGCTGCAGTTGTGTGCCATCCTCAAAACTAGTTTAGAGAAGATAAAGATCTGGGGCCAGCTAGCCACAGAGAATTCAGAGGGAGAAGGAAACCGAGGCCCCAAGTAAGGTGATGACCTCCCCAAACTAAGAAGGGCAAACTTGTCAAAAGATGAGTGGCTGAGTCAGGACTCGAACCCAAGCCTGCTGCTCCTCCATGCAGTGCTCTAAACTAGGCCCTGAAGGATGTGTTGGCGTCACAGTGGTGGAGGTTTCCGAAGGAACGAGGTGGCGTGTCCCACTGGCCTGGGCGGACTGGGGAAAAAGGAAAAGACCCTGGAGGGTTGAAAGGTCACTGCATGGACAGTCACATGTCAGTCTTGGCTCTGGGGTTGCCGAGCCTGCAGGTGGTGGGGGGCTGGGGGTGTGGCGAGAGAGGCAGGCAGCTGTGCCCTGGGGGCGGTCAGAAGGATGTGGTTTTGGGGAGGGCCGGTGGTGACCCCAGAGCTGCAGGAGAAGTGAGTCCTGGGCAGCTGCTTCCTGAGAGAGGTGTCCGTCTCTCCCACCCTGACCTCAGCACTCCCTTCCTGGCTAATGTTACAAGGTCTTCCACCTCGAACTGGGTCACAGGGCTTCCCCTTTTATCAGTCCCTTTCCTCCCAGGGCTGTAGATGAAAAAATCAGACCTAGTCACGGTTGGATTGGACCACAGAGATAATCTGGTGGTCAGCCCTTTCCTTTTTTGCAGAGAAAACTCAGGCCCAGGGAGAAGGGTGGGGCTGATAACAGTTGTCATTTATGGAGTGCTCTCTGTAGACCAAGTCCTGGTGCATTTTAGTCTCATAAAAGGCCTAGCACGTGGGGATTATATTATGCCCACTTTACAAGTGGTAAAGTGGTACCGTATTGGGGTAGCAGAGAGCTCCCAGGCCATCAGAATCTCTGCCCTGTCGGCCCCCTCCAATAGTGCCGTTGGGACCACTTTGCAAATTTTGGGTCTGCCCCCGGCCACACACCATGTCCCCCTCGGTGCCACAGGTTTTGGGGAGGGAACCCAGCCTGAGCCACAGCCTCTTCAGTGTTTGGCGGGGCTTGCGGGCCTAAACCAGTTCTTCTTGTCCAGCTGGAAGCATTCCCCTGATCTACCTTCCTGCCACTCCCTCCCTGGCCAATTAAAGGCAGCCTTGTTTTGGGAGCCGCCACGGGACCCCCACCACCCGCCCCTTCCAGTGGTGTTGCTGCCCAGGGGCATAGACGTGGCACCTGGCCCAGTCAGTTCTGGAAGTGCCCCCCACCCATCCCATGTACTTTAGCTAAGAGACCTTTCTGGTCTTCTTGAGAGTTTTCTCCTTGATTGCACAGAAGTGGGTGTAGGAACGGAAGCCCAGGGGGGTCTAGGACCCTTGAGTGGCCAGAGAGAGCACTTTGGAATTCTTAGAAGCCCAGAGAGCTATGATAATAAAATATTTGAGCCTTACTTTGAAGGGTGTGAGATTGGGTCTCTTTCTCCCTCTGGGTTGACATCCCCCATCTGTAAAATGGAATTTGAACTGAATAGACAGCTTTTTCCAGCTTGGTAGTCTATTAATAATTAAGTACCTACTCTTTGAAAGGGTGGTGGGAACCATAAAGACATCTAAGTCATTCACTCCCTTGAAGAGGCTTATGGTTCACGAGGAGCATTAACATCCTCCATCAAATTCTGAGCCCTCATCCCCTCCCCCTTCCACCCACGCACACAGGAACCCTGCTATGTGGATTTTCAGTGAAATACCTGGCCCGGAAATGTCTGTATGACTGAACATTTATTTGAGTTTATTTGAGTTTATTGAACAAATAAATGTGTTCTTGTAACTTCATGCTAAAAGGTGCACTGAGGTTGTTTCTTACTGATACGGATGCCTCCCCGTGATACTGTGAGGTAGGTATCATTAGCTTCACTTTGACAGGAAAGTGATGCTCAGAGGAATGGAGGGGCCTGCCAAGGTCTGAACCAGGTCTTTCAGGTCACACGGGCAGTCTGATTTGCAGGTCCTCGGAGAACATTGCACATGAGGAAGTTGGCTGGCTTTGAAGGCAGATGCCTTGGGTCCCTCCTTCTGAATCGCTGGTTGACCTTGAGCACCCATGCCCTCTGGGTCTCAGTGTCCCCAACTCTGGAAGGAGGAGTTTAGACCAAAACCCTCTTGTGGGTCCTTTTTGGTAGGGAACAGGAAACGCTTTCTCAGCCTCCTTGGTAAAGAGCCTGTGGGAGAAGCGACGTTGGGGAGGCGGGTGGTGGATACATTCAGCTCCTGCCATCGCCAGCTCCTGGAAACAGAAGGCTTTTCCAAGGACTTAGAGTGCTGAGCCGGCCTGAATGAGGGGCTGGGGGAGCCAGGCTGGGCTTCATGCCCCGGTTCCCTCTAGGGAGGAGTTGGCTCCTAGCTCTCCTAGGCCTTCCGGACTGGTGGGTGTGATTTTCAAGTGACTACCTAAAATTGGGGGAAGGGGCTGGACAGGGCTCTGCAAGTCACCGGAGGAGAGCCGTAGCTGGCCTGCCTGAGTCACCCCCATTTCCTTTCGGCCTCCTGGGAATGTTGGAATTGGCACCCCCTTTAAGGGCTATTAAGGATAGTCAAGCCAGTGTCCAGGGCCTTGAAGAGACATACAGAAAATACGAGCCCTAGGCCCCAGACCCTCACAGGGCCTGGCCCAGCTGTGGACTTTGACAGGGTAGAGTTCAGCCAGTTGTCCAAACTGTCCTCTGCAAGACTTGTGGTTGCCAAAGTGGAAAGAGGGAGGGGGGAAGGGATGGATTGGAAATTTGGGGTTAGCAGGTGCAAACTATCACACATAGAATGGATGAATGATAAGAGCCTCCTGTATGGCGCAGGGAACTATATTCAACATCCTGTGATAAATCATAATGGAAAAGAACATAAAAATATTATATATATATATATGTTTAACTAAATCACTTTTCTCTACAGCAGAAATTAATACACTGTAAATCAACTATACTCCAATTTTTAAAAAATTACTTAAAAGAATATATATATATATAGAGAGAGAGAGACCTCTGCAGAGAGTGTAGTGCTCTGCCCCCCAGCCTTAAAGCAAAACTGAGGTTGCAATTGGTCTGAGTTTATGGAACAAAGTAGAGTCCAGACTTGACTTGACCCCAGGATTCTCTGATGCCCTCTTGCTTCTTGGGATTGGCTGCTGGCCGGAGGGTTTTAGAACACCGATTTGGAGTTAAGCAGACCTGACTCCAGAGCTGTGAAGGCCCCCCCTTACTAGCTCCATGGTTTGGGACCTCAGCTCTCTGGTCTGTAAGAACGGGATTGTAGAGAGCCTTGTTGAAGATGACAAGGCTGCAATTGAAGCTCTTAGGATCTGGCCTGGTAAACGGGAGGCTTTCTTAGCGACGGTTCCCAGCTTTGCCCTGGCTGCCTTGATGCCAGATGGCCCTTTCCTTTTGAGGATCCCACCCCCAGAGGCCCCCTGGAAATCTCTCTCCCCTCCCCC